GAAAGAGAGGGGACGGAAGAGACAGGAGATCCCAGACCCAGGAAGAAGATCAAATACAGCCTCCCTCACAACCCCCCAACCAGGTCAACCCCAGTGCAACCAAACAGTCTAAACCAAAACACCCATGCCATATCCAATGCCCCCACCCACTGCATTAGAAACTCCACCCCAACAGCAACCACCCATAGTTCCTTATCAGGTCTCCCACTTCCCCAACCCCTATACCCCCCAGACCACAGTCTTAGAAAAGAAGTTGGTGTGGTATACAAATGCAGATGGAATAACAAATAAGTGTGAGGAGTGGCATGAAAGAATCAAGGAGACATCCCCAGACATAATAGCACTCACAGAAACAAAACTCACCAGAATAATAACAGATGCAGTCTTTCCACCCGGATATCAAATCCTCAGGAAAGACAGAGGGAGGAGAGGGGAGGAGGAGTTGTACTGCTCATTTAAAACCAGTGGGGTTTTGAGAAAATGGAAGGAATGGATGGCATGGGCGAAAGGGACTACTTAGTAGGATAATTGCAGTAATGTACAGCCCACCACAGAACTGCAGGAGGCCAAGAGAAGAATACGATGAGAGCAACAGAGCAATGGTCGACACATAGCCGAGGTGGCCAGAAGAGCGCACATGGGGGGAGCAAAGTTACTAGTTATGGGTGATTTCAATCACAAGGAGATTGACTGGGAAAACCTGGAGACCCATGGGGGTCCTGAAACATGGAGAGCCAAGATGATGGATGTGGTGCTGGAAAACCTCATGCACCAACATGTTCGAGACACTACCAGAGAGAGAGGTGAGGATGATCCAGCAAGACTGGACCTTGTATTCACCTTGAGTAGTTCGGACATCGAGGATATCGTGTATGAGAGGCCCCTAGGAGCTAGTGATCATGTTGTTCTGTGTTTTGACTACATAGTTGAGCTTCAAGTGGAGAGAGTAGCAGGAATAGGATGGGAAAAACCAAACTACAAATGGGGGAACTACTCAGGCATGAGGAACTTGCTGCAAGACATTCAGTGGGAGAGGGAACCGACAGGAAAACCAGTGCAAAAAATTATGGACTATGTGGCAACAAAATGCAAGGAGGCAGAGGAGAGGTTTGTTCCCAAGGGAAACAGAAATAATGGGAAGAGCAGAGCGAGTCCATGGTTCACCCAAAGGTGTAGGGAAGCAAAAACTAGGTGTACTAGAGAATGGAAAAGGTACAGAAGACAGAGAACTCAGGAAAATAAAGAGATTAGCTGAAGAGCCAGAAATGAATATGCACAGATAGGAAGGGAGGCTCAGCGACAATATGAAAATGACATAGCATCGAAAGTCAAGTCTGACCCGAAGCTGTTGTATAGCTACATCAGGAGGAGAACAACAGTCAAGGACCAGGTAATCAGACTGAGGAAGGGTGATGTGGAGCTCACAAGAAACGACCGAGAGGTATGTGAGGAGCTCAACACGAGATTTAAAGAAGTATTTATAGTGGAAACCAGTAGGACTCCAGGAAATCAGAACAGGGAGGTACACCAACAAGTGCTGGATGAGGTACACATAACCAAGGAGGAGGTGAAGAAGCTGCTATGTGAACTTGACACCTCAAAGGCAGTGGGACCAGACAACATCTCTCCGCGGGTCCTTAGGGAGGGAGCAGAGATGCTGTGTGTGCCATTAACAAAGATCTCAACACATCCATTGAAACTGGGCAACTCCCTGAGGAGTGGAAGATGGCAAATGTAGTCCCAATTTTTAAAAAGGGAGACAGACATGAGGCACTAAACTACAGACCTGTATCACTAACGTGTATAGTATGCAAAGTCATGGAGAAAATCATCAGGAGGAAAGTGGTGGAGCACCTGGAAAGAAGCAAGTGTATAATTGACAACCAGCATGGTATCAGGGAAGGAAAATCCTGTGTCACAAACCTACTGGAGTTTTATGACAAGGTGACAGAAGTAAGACGAGAGAGAGAGGGGTGGATCGACTGCATTTTTTTGGACTGCAAGAAGGCCTTTGACACAGTTCCTCACAAGAGGTTACTGCAAAAGCTAGAGGATCAGGCACACATAACATGAAAGGCACTGCAGCAGATCAGAGAATACCTGACAGGGAGGCAACAATGAGTCATGTACGTGATGAGGTGTCAAAACGGGCGCCTGTGATAAGCGGGGTTCCACAGGGGTCAGTCCTAGGACCTGTGCTGTTTTTGGTATATGTGAATGACATAACGGAAGGGATAGACTCAGAAGTGTCCTTGTTTGCAGATGATGTGAAGTTAATGAGAATAATCAAATCTGACGAGGATCAGGCAGGACAACAAAGAGACCTGGAGAGGCTTCAAGCCTGGTCCAGCAACTGGCTCCTTGAGTTTAACCCTGCCAAATGCAAAGTCATGAAGATTGGGGAAGGGCAAAGAAGACCGCAGACACAATATACTCTAGATGGCCAAAGACTGCAAACCTCACTCAAGGAAAAAGATCTGGGGGTAAGTATAACACTGAGCATATCTCCTGAGGCGCACATCAGATAACTGGTGCAGCATACGGGCGTCTGGCAAACCTACGGATAGCATTCTGATACCTCAGTAAGGAATCGTTCAAGACTCTGTATACCATTTACGTCAGGCCCATGCTGGAGTATGCAGCACCAGTTTGGAATCCACACCTGGTCAAGCACATCAAGAAATAAGAGAAAGTGCAAAGGTTTGCAACAAGACTAGTCCCAGAGCTAAGGGGATTGTCCTACGAAGAAAGGTTGAGGGAAACCGGCCTGACCACACCGAAGGACAGGAGGGTCAGGGAAGACATGATAACGACATATAAAATACTGCGCGGAATAGACAAGGTGGACAAAGACGGGATATTCCAGAGATGGGAGACAGAAACAAGAGGTCACAATTGGAAGTTGAAGACTCAGATGAATCAAAGGGATGTTACTAAGTATTTCTTCAGTCATAGAGTAGTCAGGCCGTGGAATAGCCTAGAAAGTGACGTAGTGGAGGCGAGAACCATACATAGTTTTAAGGCGAGGTATGATAAAGCTCATGGAGCAGGGAGAGAGAGGACCTAGTAGCAATCAGTGAAGAGGTGGGGCCAGGAGCTATGATTCGACCCCTGCAACCACAGAGGCGAGTATACACACACATACACACACAGGAGCTTGGACTCGACCCCTGCAACCTCAACTAGGCGAGTACACACACACACACACACACACACACAGGCGGGCGCATACACACACACACACACACACACACACACACACACACACACACACACACACACACATGGTAATGCTTTATTTACAGTTACCAAAGTCAGGGTATTTCTCCAGAATGGTCTGTAATATACCACTGTGGATAAAATACTTTGCCATTTCTTGAACATTTCTGAGTGAGTTGTCTCTAAATTCATTGATTTTATCGCACTCCAGTACATAATTATGCAGGGTGTGACAGTAGTCCATCTGGCAAAGTTTACATTTCATTTGGTCTACGTCTGGTGGTGATGATTTAACCTGCCGAAGATACTTATAACCCAGTCGGAGCCAGGCAGTAGTGACATCCAAGAGTCTGCTTATTTTGTTGGATGCACCATAGACATGTGGCTCCTCCTGCATGATAGAGTGATAATAGATGGACTGACTGGTGTCAATCTCCCTGAGTCTTAAGTCAATAAAATTCAGTTGAAGTTCTTTTCGCATTATTGTTCTCAAACTACTACCTGACAAGCCAAGATTGTAATCTACTCCCTCTTTGAAAGCATACAGCTTAGCCAATTTATCAGTTCTATCATGCATTCGAAGACCAATGTGAGATGGAATCCACAGCATGTGCACACTGACTCCACTGTCCACAATCTTACCATACCTGTTACATTTGTAGTCTTAAGCAGTAAAAACAACATAATACATCACAATGAACTACAATTACATATTCACTTTTATTTTTGTAAGATGTGGAGACCTAAAAAAAAGTTGTTTGGCTTTTTTTGGGGCTTTCAGAAATGTAACCCTATTTTTCCCATAAGTTCTTCAGTTCATCTAACAGTTTTTTATCTAACGCGGCGTTTTCAGGAACGTAACTACCCTGTTCGATGATGGTCTACTGTATGTAATGCTTATTTAATTGTTCATGTATTTATTTTATTTAGTTCTCATTGTTTTGTTTATGTAAAACTCTGATCTTTAAATTTTTTTTTTTTTTTTTATTTTTGGGTGTCTTGAACGGATGAATTGTATTTACATTAATTCTTATGGAAAATACGTATTTCAGTTTTAGGCTGAGCTTCTGGAACGGATTACGGCCGATAACCGAGGGTCCAGTTTATACTAGAAATGTTATAAATGGTGCAAAGGTGACATTAAACCACTTTCAAAGATGGTTGACACACTTGCTACCATTATAGTATACTCCTCACTTAGTGATGAATTCATTTAATGACGTGGTCTTAGGAACAGAACTCTGTCGTTAAGTGAGGAGTGGCTGTAATAATAATTGTTGTTTTATTACATTATTGCAACTTGACATTTGTTCACATTTCTCTCGACTGTGAATGGAACATGTACATTCTGTAATTGTTTGTGCACTCAAGTTTTGATAAATTTTAATGTTTTGTAATGTGTATATTTTACGATAATAAATGATAATATAGATTAGCATCCACATATATTTTAGGCACTCATGACATACCTAACTTCTAAATTTTTTGGTTGCATATCTATAAAAAAAATTCCCATACATTGAAAAAATCTGTGAAAAAAATCTGCAAATGTGGGGACCCATACAATGCAAGCTCACATTTTCAAGGATCATCTGTATATAATCTGAAGACCCCTAGAGGGAGATTCTTTGATGCTGTTGATGTACTTTTAATCCAAGAAATTGAACCTGTTATCTTCTTTCTTGAATTAAAGTTTATTATCTCCCATTTTGAATGTTCTGTAACCCTCTTAAATATAAACCATCTGAAGAAATATTGAATTTATCATCATTACTTTTCAGTATTGGCACTGGTGATGCAGCATCCCTGGCTGTAGCTCAGCAGATTCTTGGGGTTGGCCCAAACACCAAATATGGAAGCAATGCTAGCAGTGTACTTAATACTGCTGTCACTGCTTCAGGTGGTATTGGAATGGCTTCAGCAATCAACATAAATTACAGTGATACAGGCCTCTTTGGCTACTTCATCATTGCTGATCCTGCGTCTGTTGACATGGTGAAAAAATATTGGAAATATTGTCTTTATTACTCGTGGGGCTATTTTCTTAGATTTATTTATCCATATTTTGATATCAGCTATTATGTGACTTTACAGGTTTAGTGCTTTCAATGACTAAAAATAATCTCAACGTAGATTTTTTTTTTTAACATTCCGGCTGTCTCCTACCGATGTAGGTGACCCAACAAAACAGAAAACACTTACACTCATACAATCACTTTCACACCAGATGCATGCTGACATTACAGTTTAGATGACCTTCCAAACTGCAACATCCTCATCCCTCCTGAGTGCAGGCACTGTGCATCCCAACTTCAGGACTCGTGTCCAATTCTCTGAATCCCTTCATAAATGTTACTTTGCTCTCACTCCAACAGCACATCAAATCATGAAAACTACTTGTATTCACTCATTTCTGTCAAACATGCTCTCACAAGCCTGTTGGATGTCCAAGCCACTAACACTCAAAACCTTGACCCCTCTAATTTTTCCTAGTATGATCCCTAACCCGCCTGCCTTGCACCAGATTTAAATGCCTCCATAGTCATCCTATTTTTTCCTCTGCCCTCTCAAATGTCCAAACCACCTCAATAATCCTTTCTCAGCCCTCTGAATAATGCCTTTAGTAACCACACAATTAATCTCTAAACCCAAAATCCTCTGCATAATATTCACACCTGCATATTGTTCTTAATCACTACATCTTCCCTGCCTCCAGGTTCTTCCTCACTGCAACATTCAAAATCCATGCCTCACACCCATACAACAATGTTAGTACAGTGGAACCTCTACTTGCGAGCGCATCCACATGCGAGTTTTTCCAAATATGAGCAGACGATTAGTTGATTTTTTGCTTCCATATACGAGTGAAATTTCCATAAGCGAGCAGGCCTCAAAGGAGGTTCCTTGACACTGGTGAGAGGCTCTTGCTTTTGATCTAGGGAATTGGATCTCATTTGTTTATTGGGCTATCTTATTGAAACTTGGGCAATGTATGATGGAAAGATGCTTCTTAATGTATACCAAAAAATGAAAGAAATCGGACCATAAATAATTGAGTTAACTTCTCAGCAATTAGCTGCCCCTTAGTGGTATTTTCGTATGGTTTTTATGGTTGAATTCTCGTTTTCTTTGGTTTCATTTGATAGAATGGAAGATATATTACAGAAATAGATATGATTTTGATTGGTTTCATGACGAGAAGTACCTTGAAAATGAGCTCAAAGTAGCAGAAATGTTGTGTTTTTGCCAATGTTCAAGCTGCAGTCATGAATGAATTGATATTATTTATACAATTATTACAACAATGCAGTAGTCTGCATAACGGTAAATCTTCTATTGTGTGAATAAAAATTCCAAATTATTTATATTGCAATAATAATAATTATAATGATAAGAATGATGATAATACATATAATAATAGTATAATATAATATGTATAATAATAATACACATATAATATATTTTTTTTTTTTTTAACAAGTTGGCCGTCTCCCACCGAGGCAGGGTGACCCAAAAAGAAAATCTCCCAAAAAATACTTTCATCATCATTCATCACTTTCACCTCACACATAATCAATGTTTTTGCAGAAGTGCTCAGAACACAACAGTTTAGAAGCATATATGTATAAAGATACACAACATACCCCTCCTTTAGAGTGCAGGCATTGTACTACTTCCCATTTCCAGGACTCAAGTCCGGCTATTAAAAATAACAGGTTTCCCTGAATCCCTTCACTAAATATTACCCTGCTCACACTCCAACAGATCGTCAGGTCCCAAATACCATTCGTCTCCATTCACTCCTATCGAACACGCTCATGCACACCTGCTGGAAGTCCAAGCCCCTCGCCCACAAAACCTCCCATACTCCTTTCTTCCAACCTTTTTGAGGACGACCCCTACCCCGCCTTCCTTCCCTTACACATTAATACGCTCTCCATGTCGTTCTACTTTGATCCATTCTCTCTAAATGACCAAACCACCTCAACCCCTCTTCACCCCTCTTAACTAATACTTTTATTAACTCCACACCTCCTAATTTCCACTCCGCAGACCGGGCCGCGGGGGCGTTGACCCCCGGAACTCTCTCCAGGTAAACTCCAGGTAAACACATTGCCCTTAGACAGGACATCTCCACTGCCTCCAACCACCTCCTCACTGCTGCATTCACAACCCAAGCTTCACACCCATATAAGAGTGTTGGTACTACTATACTTTCATACATTCCCTTCTTTGCCTCCATAGGTAATGTTTTTTTGTTTCCACATGTACCTCAATGCACCACTCCCCTTTTTTCCCTCATCAGTTCTATTTTTAACCTCATCCTTCATAAATCCATCCGCCGACACGTCAACTCCCAAGTATCTGGAAACATTCACTTCTTCCATACTCCTCCCCAATTTCATATCTAATTTTTTTTTGTCTAAATCATTTGATACCCTCATCACCTTACTCTTTTCTATTTTCACTTTCCACTTTCTACCTTTACACACATTCCCAAACTCATCCACTAACCTTTGCAATTTTTCTTTAGAATCTCCCACAAGCACAGTATCATCAGCAAAAAGCAACTGTGTCAATTCCCATTTTTTATTTAATTCCACATAATTTAATCCCACCCCTCTCCTGAACACCCTAGCATTTACTTCTTTTACAACCCCATCTATAAATATATTAAACAACCATGGTGACATTACACATCCCTGTCTAAGACTTACTTTTACTGGGAAGTAGTCTCCCTTTCTTCTACACACCCTAACCTGAGCCTCACTATCCTCATAAAAACTCTTTACAGCATTTAGTAACTTACCACCTATTCCATATACTTGCAACATCTGCCACATTGCTCCCCTATCCACTCTATCATATGCCTTTTCTAAATCCATAAATGCAATAAAAACTTCCCTACCTTTATCTAAATACTGTTCACATATATGCTTCAATGTAAACACTTGATCTACACATCCCCTACCCACTCTGAAACCTCCTTGCTCATCCGCAATCGTACATTCTGTCTTGCCTCTAATTCTTTCAATTATAACTCTACCGTACACTTTTCCTGGTATACTCGGTAAACTTATTCCTCTATAATTTTTACAATCTCTTTTGTCCCCCTTCCCTTTATATAAAGGGACTATACATGCTCTCTGCCAATCCCTAGGTACCTTCCTCTCTTTCATACATTTATTAAACAAAAATACCAACCACTCCAACACTATATCCCCCCCTGCTTTTAACATTTCTGTCATGATCCCGTCAGTTACAGCTGCTTTACCCCCTTTCATTGTACGTAATGCCTCGCGCACCTCCCCCACACTCACATCCTGTTCTTCTTCACTCCTGAAAGATGGCATACCTCCCTGGTCAGTGCATGAAATTACTGCTTCCCTTTCTTCATCGACATTTAAAAGTTCGTCAAAATATTCTCGCCATCTACCCAAAACCTCCATCTCCCCATCTACTAACTCCCCTACTCTGTTTTTAACTGACAAATCCATTCGTTCTCTAGGCTTTCTTAACTTGTTTAACTCACTCCAAAATTTTGTCTTATTTTCATTAAAATTCCTTGACAGTGCCTCTCCCACTCTATCATCTGCTCTCCTTTTGCACTCTCTCACCACTCTCTTCACCTTTCTTGTACTCTCTATATACTCTACTCTTCTTATAACACTTCTGTTTTGTAAAAACCTCTCATAAGCTAACTTTTTCTCTTTTATCACACCCTTTACTTCATCATTCCACCAATTACTCCTCTTTCCTCCTGCACCCACCCTCCTATAACCACAAACTTCTGCCCCACATTCTAATACTGCATTTTTAAAACTATTCCAATCCTCTTCAACACCCCCCTCCCCCCACTACTCATACTTGCACCAGCCCACTTTTCTGCCAATAGTTGCTTATACAGTGGAACCTCAAAAATCGAACGTTTCGAAAATAGGACCATTTTTTCGGACAAACTGTGTCCCTATTATCGAACGCGCCCCTATTTTCGGACCGCCGGGTACGGGACCTGTCTGCCGCCCGCTGTGTCCGCGTCCCCGCGCAGGCACTGTGAGCAGTCTAGCTTTGTTTATGCTTGAGTGAACGCTAGCCTGCGCTCTCATTCACGCATTTTACGATTATTTCGTTGTGTTTAGTGCTTGTGGGATTGTGAAATAAGCTGCCATGGGCCCAAAGAAACTTGCTAGTGGTACTCCTGTGGTAAAGAAAGTGAGAAACACCATAGATGTGAAGAAGGAAATAATACAGAAGTATGAAAGTGGTGTGAGGCTTGTTGAGTTTGCCAGGATGTATGGGAAAAACAAGTCGACCATCGGTTCTATTCTGTCAAAGAAAGAACAAATCAAGGAAGCTGATGTTGCGAAAGGTGTTAATATAGGGAGTGGATGAGGTGCTGCCTTCTTCAAAGATTAAGGAGATTTGTGCCAAGTGGAATGATGTCCAAATGTTTGTGCAGAAGTACCACCCTGAGCAAGCTGAAACATGCCATCTTTGCAGCAAGTTCAGTTACAGAACCTTGTCCCATTTTAGGGAAATGTTAGAGGCACCAGAAACATAGGACTGTGGACAGTTATTTTGTGAGACAGGGATCCAGTGACTCAAGCTGGTCCTAGTGGCATTAAAAGACAGAGAAGGGAAGTAACCCCAGAGAGGGCTTTACCTGAAGTCCTCATGGAGGGGGATTCTCCTTCCAAACACTAACCCCAACTCCCTCTCTCCTCCTCCCTATCTTCCAGATGCCATCACCAATCTTCTATAAAGGTAAGTAAAAATGTTATTTTATATGTATTACTATACATAATTAAAAACTATAGTATTTGTTGTATGTAAAACTGTAATTAATCTCTATAAAATGTATTTTTTGTGTGAATATTTTTGGGTTTCTGGAACGGATTAATTGTATTTCCATTATTTCTTATGGGAAATATTGCTTTGAATTTCAGACTTTTCGAATTTAGAACTAGCTCCTGGAACGGATTAAGTTCGATTTT